GATAAACTCTTCTGTGTCTTCGGTTTGTTCTAATGTGCCATTGATTTTCACAGCATACACAATTCCATTGCGCGCTGTGTATAAATACTTGTCGTCTGAATAGTATTTTTCATCTCCAAGGTAGTACTTGATTTGTTCGTATCTGGATGACGACTTCAAGTGCCTATTTAGTTGTTCTACTTTATCCTCTAATTCAGCTATACGTTTTTCATCAAAACAGAAGGATTAAACTGTTTGGGATTAGCAATTTTCAGATGTTTGTCATCGACATCCAATGCAAGAGGTTCTTCTTCGCCGAAATATGGAGCTGCTACTTTGGAAAGAGTGTTATTTGTTGAAAGTTTTTCTTCGATAATATACTTGTGTTTATTCGCAGGGTCAAGGATAATTTGATTGATAGGAATGCTTCGGATATGCTTGAAACGCAGACAGCAACTTGGAATCACTAACATTGATGTTTTATATTCAACGCAAAGAAAATAAATTTTTGGAAGTCAACGAAATATTCTTTAAAATGAAACCCAAATCTTTCTGTTATTAATCAACTTTACAATGTAAATTCTTCTATTCTGGCCCATTTTAATAGTTCCGACAGGAACCTCTTTTGGGTCTGTAACAGGACCATAATCAATCATCATATTTAACAGAAAGGATTCAATCGTATTGGTTTGAGATACACAAACAAAATAAGTTTCGTTTAATTCGTTTGAAACGAAAAAATAAACTTTTATTTTCTTGAAGTACATCAAGTTTGTGAAAATGAATAACCAATTGGACGAAAATACAAACAATGTGGGTCTCTACAAGGTCAACTATATAATGAGAAATGAAGAAAGGTCGATGGATATGCTGTTATCTACCGGAAGGAAGAGACGAAATGATATTAAAGTAATGATAGCCTTATTGATGGGAATAAGAAGAGCAGAGATCAATGGAGTGAAACTACGATTTAGAAAGCGAATAACATGCTTCAGTAGTGGAGTCGAAGGAACAATAGCATATTTACAATTAATAGAGTTTCAAAAGAAGGAAAGGAAACGGTTATATTCTCGGTACCATATTAAGAAATGTCCATTTAAACCACAATCAAAAACTATCAAATGGAGTAGGCACTTGTACTTGGGGTTGATGAATTACAACAAAACATACTAACAAATCACCACAATCAAAAACAGAGGTATTGGTTTGATATTCAATTTGGATACGTTCTAAGAAACGTAGAAACAGATGAAAGAATGCAGTTTTACCCATCTGTAAATACTTCATTTTTTAATATCAATGGGCACCCTCTGGTTAGCAATACAGTGGATGGTGTTTTAGAAAAACTAGGAGGCGATGATATTTTGGAACGACTGAAGCGACCCAATTCAAAGTGGAATATTGACAGTATCTATGAATATGTTCTCTTGACTACTCCACTAGAAGAAATCCCTATTGGAGCTTCGATTACGTTACCTGATTTCATTAAAAAAAGCAAAGGCATTTTCTCATTAGAAAACATACCAAATAATATGTGTTTATGGTATTGCCTTGCCCGTCACAAGCTCTCTGACTTGCAATTGGATAGACTTGCAACTAAAGCGAAAGAACTATTCAAGAGCTATTACACCTTCAAACCGGACCAGAGCTATTGTGGGGTGGAGATGCAAGAATTGGATACCATTGAAAATCATTTTGATGTAAACATAAATGTTTACCGATTTAATGGAACAAAAGCTGTGATGGAGCGACATTCAAAGAAAACATTTGAATCTACTTTGAGTTTGAATATCTATACCGATGTGGATAATAAACTTCAAAAATGTTGAAATAGCATACAATGATGCAAGTCGTGAGACACAAGAACAACTTGAACCGAATTACAAAAGTAAGAAATTGATTGGAAGTATGTTTGGGAAAAAGATGATGTTTCCGACAGAGTTGTTGAAATGGTATCTAGAGCACAGACTTATAGTGACCAACATTACCTATGCTGTAAAATATGAGCGTAAGGCTCTTTTCAAACCATTTTCTGAAAAGGTTCAAATGAACGAAGAGCAAGAGACACAAACCCAAATCATAAACTTCGTGGTGATATAATGAAACTGATTGGGAATGCACCGTACGGAAAGTATATAATGAACTTTCTGAAGCACGAAACGGTCAAGATTGTAGGACAAGACACTTACGATAAGAACGTGCGAAGAAATAATTATCTCGGACATCAAGACCTTGTGGAGGGATACGAGTTTCGGTTTAGTAAGACATCCTTCAAGCAAAGTCTATCACTCCATATTGGATTCCAAGTATATCAACTAGCCAAGTTACGAATGTTACAGTTCTACTACGATTTTATTGATTATTACGTAGACAGAAGCGACTTTCAATATTGCATAATGGATACAGACTCGGCATACTTTGCGATTTCTGGAGATTCCTTACAAGACGTAGTGAAACCACACCTCTTCAATGAATTCCAACAACAAAAGAAATATTGGTTCAGGAGAGATGATACCCCAGCGAACAAATTATATGACAGCAGAACACCAGGATTATTCAAGTTGGAATACGAAGGAGATTGCGTTATATCATTGGCTAGCAAGATGCATTATTGTAACGAGAAAAAGTTTAGTTCAAAGGGTATCAGCAAGAATCAAAATGAAATTACCAAGCAAAAGTATTTAAATGCTTTGAGTGGAAATGGAGGTCAGGAGTTTATCAATAATGGTTTTAGGTCATATCATAACCAAATGAATACATATTCATTAACAAACACTGCGATAAAACTGTTTAACGATAAACGACTCCGAGTGGGTTACGAAACATTTCCAACCAAATTATAAACGTTTTAATTCTTTTGGTGTGTTATGGAGAGGCTTTATGAACTATATTATAATCCAAGGACAGGATTCACGTCTGCCGAAAAGCTATACCGAAAGCTTAACAAAGAAATACCATTGTCCCAAATAAAAACGTTTCTTCAGCAGCAAGAAGTGTATCAACTCCACAGACAACAACGAAAAGCACCTGTTTATAGTCCCATAACAGTTTACTCTATCAATGACCAATGGCAGATTGACTTGATTGATCTGTCAAGGTATGCCAAGTGGAATAGTGGATACAAATATCTTCTTTGTGTGATTGATGTATTCAGTAGAAGGACATTTGTCGTTGCGATGAAGAAGAAATTAGATAGCACCGAAGCGATGAAGAAAGTATTAGATATAGAAACCCCAATTCTTATTCAAAGTGACAGTGGAACAGAATTTTTAAACGGAGCATTTCAGCGATTATTGACATCCAAAGGTGTTCGGCATATCACG